ATATATATATATATATATATATATATATATATATATATATATATAAACCCATGAATCCAATCAGCTACTTAGACTACAAGCATGTCTTAAAGACATAAAAACCTGGATGACCCTTAATTTTCTCCTGTTGAACAGACAAGACTGAGGTTTTGGTTTTTGGACCTGAGCACCTTAGGAATGAATGTTTCAGTCTTTCTCCCTCCTTAGATGCATTAATCTGTCCTCCAGCTCTAATGTTAAAAATCTTGGTGTTATTTTTGATCAGGACATGTCTTTTATCCCCCACATTAAAAACGTTACTAGAACCTCCTTCTTCCACCTGCGTAATATCACTAACATTAGAAACATCTGATCTAAAGATGATGCAGAAAAACTGGTCCATGCATTTGTCACGTCTAGACTGGACTAGGGCTGGACGATATGGCCAAAACATTTATCACGATATATCTCTTAATTTCGGTCGATAACGATATAATTCGATATCGATATAAACAATATAAAAGCCTCAGCAAAACTACAAACTATACAAATAAATTAATGTTCACCTTTTATTTGTATTTAGCCTTAAAAAAATTGAAATCACTGTCAAATAAACATAAAATTCTCAACTTTGTCAATATTAATAGTTTTAACTTTAAACAACAACTTTAAAATTGACAGCATTGAAATTTGTTGTTAATGAAATAAACTTTTTGGGTGTCGTTATTGATGAGAAGCTGACGTGGAACTCTCATGTAAAATACTTAAAAATAAAAATAATCAGTTGCATTACTGTATAAAGTAAAAGAGTTTTTGAATGACAAAGCTTTGTATATATTGTATAATGTAATGATTGTTCCATATTAATCTATTGTAATGAAGTTTGGGGAAAAACATACAAAACAATTACAAACCCTATTTTTATTTTTACAAAAAAGAACTATAAGAATTATTAGTAGTATGAAGTGCTATGGTCACCCAACAAATATATTATTTCATCAGTTGAAATTATTAAAATATTATGATTTAGTTAAATAAAGTATTTCACAAGTCATGTATAAAGCTCATAAAAATATTAGCCCCAAATATTCAATTAGAATATGTAAAAAATAAATATAAAAAAAGGAGAGTCAATATAACTTAAGGGAATGTAAATGTTTGTAAAACCTCCATTTAGAACTGGTGTGAAGGAGCTGTGTTGTAGTTCAGGGAACAGGATTATGAATTGTCTTGATATCACCATAAACATTTCTAAAACAATTTATATGTTTAAAAAGATGTTAAAGTTAAAGTTGTTGGGAAGGTTTAGTACCAGGTGAAGGATACCTGAAGTTTTTTTGATTTCAGTTTGGAGATTGTTCAAGTCAAAGTTGTTGTTTGTTTGTAGTTATTTTATATTTTTTAAATTAGGGGCAGATAAGATTTTTTTTCTTCATCCTTTTCATTCAGTGTTTTTTCTTTCTTTCTGATGAATTTGTTTCATTTT